CAACCTTTTTTTTAAGCTAATTAGAACTTAAATTTGCATCTCCACCTATCCAATTTGTGTATATTGCATGTGTCCAAACTAATTATATAAAATTTAACTTATATTTAACGAATTATGTTTATTTGACTAATTATTAGTATTGAATATTGATTATATATTTTTTCTTTCGATTACTTAAATTGATTGTTTATATTAAATACACAATTTTTTAAAACATAAATATGCATTTTCTTGTGATGAGTAAAATATTAATAAAATAACTATTCAAATCAAGTAGATAAAAATTGTTAGATTTTGAGTTGGCAATTCTGTAAACAAAAGGATCAAATTATAATTGTTTAAAAATTTGGGGTCAATTTGTCAGTGTTTAAAAATTAGGGGTTCATTTGTACATGCTTGAAAGTTTAGGGATTAAGTTGCAATTTTGCAAAAGTATGCTAGGGTTTGAGTTTTGAAGAAGAGCGGGAAGTGTCATTGAAGTTTCGCTAGCTACTCAGCAAGAGATTGCTCAAGCATAAAAAACAAAGAACTCGTCGCTAGCTTTTTGTCACTGCCTCGCTCGAGCAAAACAGCATCGCTCGCTTTTCGCTCGAGTGACAGTGTTACCAGGAGAATCCAATTTTATTTTTTTCTAGATTTTGACTTGACCCATATGACCCAAAAACATCTCATATAAATTATTGTGCACCGCTTTTCAGTCGTTTTTAGAGGATTGAACTTGGAGAAAATATTCTACACTTTGATCTATTCATTCAATCCCACATTCTTTTGGCGTACTTACATAAAAACATCAAATCCTCTTTCACCAAACACCATAACCAATCCTTCCAGACATTTGTTGAGATTTGAAGATCAGGGAAAGAGATCGAAGTTTCGATCATTGGAGAATGGGGAGTTCTTAGGAATCCACAAGAGATAGACGAAATCAAGAGCCAAAAATTGGTATAGCAGAACGCAATCCAGGCGGGCTTGGAGGCGGGAGTTAGTGCATAATCACACATTCCAGGAGGGCTTTGGAAAATTACAATCAGGAGGTCAGAAAAACAAGTGTCTGTTGAGTCTGACAAATTGTAAGTGGTACTTTCATTTATAGTGGATT